TCTGCACCTTTAAAGATTTTAGTGATTTTATCAATGGCTCAGACATCATTTCTAAGGTAAGACTGTGGTATCAATTTGTAATTAGCAGTATTTTGTTGAGCTTGTCAAGAACACTTTAAAATGAAAATCACTGAATCATGGCCCCTAAATGTTTGTCATGTGACTACACCCACTTTCTTCTCTGACTCATCCACCTCTAAGGGGTGATGTAAGTGATGGGTGATGTAAACAAATTTCCTCAAAGGAAAGGGGCCAATTGAAAAAATTATTTTGCCTTGAACTCACCTGCTTGTACATTATCTTGGTAGGAGTCAGGCCAGAAAGAGCCTTCACCTTTGGTAAGTGTTCAAATATTTCGCATGAGCCTAGTAAACAAGTGGAAATATTCAGTCAGTTCCAAGCTTCAACATCCCTTCTCTTCCGCCCAAAGATCTCCAAAGATCTCATCAGTAATTCTCCTTACTGTCTGCCATACAGTTCTTGTGATGTTAGTTTGGAGAATTGGGTATTGGAATAACTTATAATCCCCTAATTGATATTTTTCTTTATTCTTATCACCTGTCTGATTGATATTGTATTGATATATTGTAAGGAGAACTACTGTCTTGGTTACTCATGGGAGTTAAGGGTTAAAGATTGGTTCGTTTGCATTCCAGCTCCCTTATCCAAAACTGTGTTCAAATGCCCTATTCAAGCACAATTTTTTTTTGGAAGGATTCTTCCTGCGATCAACAAATGTTTTTTGGTGCCGTTTTTGGTTTTTTCGTTTGTATGCATCACTCTACGATGTTGTAATTTATCATAACAGACGCATTCGGCAACTGAATGCAATACCTTCGAATAAATTTTATTTAATATCGTTTGAGGGGGTTGCGGTATATTTTCAAGGTTGTGCTCTAGGAAAATTTTCAGGGCGCCCTTTGGGCGCCTAACCATGACAAGTAGGTCGCCCAGCCTTCCAGGTTGGTCGCCCGAATTGATTAATTAATTAATTGATTAATTATTAATTATTCTGGCCGAGGAAACCATTGCTGAATAACAATCTTTACTAATCCGTGACGTTTTGAAAGAGTAGCGTTGTATACTTCTAACAGTTCCAGAGAATCCGCAGAATTGCCAAACAGTTTCATCTTTAATCTCTCTCGTTCAATATTCACTTCACCGGGCACGGGCGGCGAAGCGAGTTACTATATTTAGCAGTCACGTACTCTATTTTGGCGAACTTGTGATATCATGAAATCCTGTTATAAATTAACCACATACATGTTAAAACCGCTAAGAAAATTTATTCGAAGCTAATTAAATAAACACAAATTTGCATAAAGGACGGTTTCGTTTTATTAATCACGCGCTCCACTATTGAAACTGTTGAAACACAAAAATTAAATATAAGCATCAACCACTTCAATAGAAAATTAGATCTTCAACACATGCTTGTGCAAAAATCGTGCAGTTTCTCACGGGCAAGGAAAAAAAAATTTTTCGTGCTAAACCATGTGAAACAATATTAGATAACACACGCGACAACTTTGAGCGTGAACAATTCTTGTTGTTGTCCTGCCGAATATTTTTTAGTTCTGCAAATGTCATCAAATTAGCAAGTAAAATTATAAAATGTTAGTTACAATCAGTTGCTCGCTTTATCGCGTCGTTCAATGGACAAGAAACCTGGGCCATGTACTATATTAATAAACCGGAAGAGAATCCACCGAAGCGAAACAAGACCCATCACCTCACTTAATGTTTAACCTAAATGTACAGATCACACAGGCTTTTGATTGCACTGCACTTTCAGCGCTTTTGCTTTTCGGGCTAACGGGAGCCGGGGAGCACGATGGAGTTTCTTTTTGTTTCGTTCCGTTCCGTATCGTTTCTATACGTTTGCTGGTTTCGTTTTGGGTTTTCACACAAGCCGAAATCTATGCGCCCGGACGGGCGACCGCTTTTCTTTTTCAGTCGCCCGAGACCAAATGTTAGTCGCCTGAGGCGACCGGGCGCCGCTAGAGCACAGCCTTGATTTTACAGCGTTTGTTCATTCATAATTCAAAAGCAGTTCATGCTCTGCGGACAACAACCAATTTACGAGAAAAACAAGATCAGCGGCAGTGAATTCGACTATCCAAGCTTTAAAAACCCACAAATCAGACAATTCAAATTTACACTCTAGCTTTTAAACATACCTTTAAAGATTTTTCACAGATTTGTAAACCTTTTCTTCGAAGCCATTTGCCCTCGAAAGCGTAGTCTTTACTTTTAAATTCCTCCATGATAAAAATCAAACCACGTTTATTCCACTGTAAAGACTTGACACTTAGGGTTTAAAGTCCCAAGTCCACCCAGACATGGTTCAAATAGTCTGTTTTACAGTTGCATGCGTGGTTGCCAAGCCTTTGAACAGGAGTGAGGCTAAGGTTGACCTTGTTATGATACAAACCTCGCTGCTAACTTACTACATACTGGTCTCAATCACAACAAGGTCATCTTCAGCCTCACTCCAAATCAAAGGCTTGGCAACTAAGTATACAACTGTTAGATGGCTTATTCCTCACCCCAGGGAAGGCGTTTTGTGTCAAATAATTCCGTACTCCACGTTCACAGACGCCGGTCATATGCCCATGGACTCCCCGGGCATTTGATCGGTGCAGTTACCTGACATTTCCGTTACTACGTGCATTTCTGGACATGAGTGTGATAATGAGGGCTCGCTAGCAAGCTCTACTCGGGAATCTAATGAACTCTTTAACTCGACTGAATAGTTTAATTAAAAACCGCACAAGTTTAGCTAATCTCTCATCTTTTTTTTCCACAGTTTGCTGCTCTTAGAAATCTGATGACGTCGATGACATGTATAGCCTTCGTAATTCTAACTGGATCCAATTACCCCATCGCCAGGAATGGAGGTATTCTGTTTCACTTCGTGGTTGTATCTGTAGTTGATAAGGTCGGAAAAAATTCAGGATTGCATTGGTTTTGCTTTACTTTTTTCTCTGATTGGTCCAGAAAACTCGCGCCACTCTCTCAACCAATCAGATGCACGTCGGTCGCCCGCGTTTTCCCGCGCTTTTGGCAGTTTGCTAATTTTTACTTAGAGCTCTAGAAGTATTTTTTTCCTTCTGGCTGGCAGTTGTTATTACAATTGTTTTAAATTTGTCGAAAAGTGTTTTATCCTTCATCAAGTAAACGCAAATTTAAAGTTTAACGTTCTTGTCATCAACGTCTTTAATTTAAGTTTCTACTGCTAACTTTTCCTTTAGCTAGTATCAATCATTTAAAAAATAAGTATGGTTAAACCCAAAGCACTCAACCTCATAAAGGATGCGCCCCCCCCTTACCTGTCACTTTAAATGGGGGGGGGGGATCTGTACGCACCTTCGGATGTACGTTTTGCTTCTTCTCCACTTTTTTTTAAGAGAATCACAACCTCGATCTTTTTTAACTCAACCGCGTTTTCTGTTTCCTTACAGATCCTGATTTCATAAGTTCTAATCCTCTACTTTGGAGACTTGCTTATGCCTGGATCTCAATAGTGTCTGTGAGAATGCGTTACTACTTTGCCTTTAAACTAGGTAAGTAGTGTTACGGATGTCGTGACATCGTGTCACGCTTTAAGAGCGCAATGCATAATGGAATTATAGGAGCACGAGCCGCCTTCTCAAGATGGCGGCAATGTTGACGTTTTCTCGTGATTAAAGTTGTTTGTAATCCATCGAGTTTGAGCCAATTTTTGAGTCGAACAGCGGAAACAGGAGCCTTCTGAGCCTTCTCCAACTTGCAATAGTGTTGGATATTCAACCTGTAGCAACTGATACAAGCGCATTCTCTGTGTCATGAATTCTTAGGTGTAGCGGGACTGCACAATTACGCTTAACTTCCTGCTGTGATTGATTTTGAAACTTCGCGTCAACTTCTTGGCGACCAATCAGGTGTACACCTGAAGCCTGTCACTCCATGATTACTTGCGTTTTCCCGTGCGTCGGACAGTGGTATTTCCTTCGTTCTGATTTTTTGACTGTTTGTTCTGATTGCCTTTTGTTTTGGTTTTGAAGCGCTCAATTGAAAAGTGTGTTAATATAAATTTAGAAACGTTCTATCACACATGCTGCAATATGATTGGTTACCTTACTCGCTCTTCCGTGATAGATAGTGACTGGCCTAACAAAGTGCAATTGTGAACAAAATGAAATAATAACTTTGAGTCTGTAGGTTACCAAGTTTTGAGCGACTAATAGATTTGAACTGAAATAACGAGATTATTTGCTCACAATTTTTATGCGTCATAGTTGATGAAGGCGAATCTGGAGCTCATAATCTAATTATTATGTAACTAAGATCTCCAAGAAACGCGTTCTGATGGGTCGATATCTCGTTAACAAACAGATTCCATGTTGCCGCGCGTCTGCTCGGCAATATACCACAGATGCGGTCGAAACGCGTTTTGACCAAAAAAGTGGCAACAGAGGCGCTGCTAGTGTATTACGGATGTTTTTACCACATTTTTACGTCTTCTGTCATCTGTTGCTGTACAGGCCCACAGCAACAATGAATCTGTTTGTTTTATGTAATAAAAAAACCAAATGCTGTTAACGGTGACGTCATCTATGATCATATCATCTAGATCATAAGTGAAAACCATTCAAAAAGAGTGTGTGTAATTCAGTTTATGTAATATTTTATTGTTGCTTTCAGCGGAGGCAATGAATAACTTTTGTGGACTCGGATTCAACGGTTTTGACGAAAATGGAAGAGCGAAGTGGAACCGTATGACTATTGTGAATATTCTCAAGATCGAGGTGCGTTTGTGTGTGTGTTCTTTTTTTTTGTCTAAAATTATTGGATTTTATTTGGGTTTTCTACCATTTTCCCCTTTCCTTCGCTTTTCTTTCAGTTTGCAACGAGTCTGAAGGAAGTACTAGACAACTGGAATATCTGTACAGTCCTGTGGTTGAGAAGGTATGTTGTTATCTTTTTATTGATTGAGTGGGAGGGCCGGACGGGAAAATATTTGGCCCGAGGGCATAATGTGCACTTTCGTTTTTTCTTCTTCTCCTCTTTCAGCTCCCATCTCGTTGGGGCGGTTGACCATTTCTGGCCCTCCTCAAACCATCATAAAGGGCCCCCATACGGGGGGGTTTTTGTCAAATGTTTTTCGGTAAAAGCGCGCGGGGGACCGGACGGGTCATACGACAACTCTTACTATGAAATGTATAGGAAATCGTATGAACGCGAGTGCATTTCGTGATTTATGGGCACGAGTGATGTTTTGAAAGTTCTCAAAATTGCACGAGCCGTAGGCGAGTGCAATTTGAGAACTTTCAAAACATCACGAGTGACCATAAATCACGAAATGCACGAGCAGGTTCATACGATTTTTTATTTATTATATTCTCGATTTTTTTATAATTTGGTGTTCAAATTTGGCGCTTCCCCGGTGTTTCCATGGCAACTTCTCCGTATTGCACTCTATAACCTCTATTGCACTCTATAACCTCTATTGCACTCTATAACCTATTTATGCATTCATCATTGACCAATCAGAAACGCGATATTTTGTTGAGTATATAATAAATGATCAAAGAGAGCCAATAAAAATCAAAGTGGAAGACGCAAGCTTCCTGTTGCGCGGGGAACACCGGTCACTAAATCACTATTGGTATTTTAGTGAGTGTTGCGAACGAAAAGACTGACAGTTTATTAGATGTTAACGTCATGGTGTTTGCTTAAACTGGGAAAACGAACCTTTTGTGGGTCACACATTTGTTACTCACTCTGTGACCCCCAAGTTTAACATTTCTTGGGGGGAAAAAAACGTTTCTTTCTATTTCCAAGTTATCGTGGTTTCGGGAAAAGAATTCCTTTTTCTTAATACAATTTCCTTTGCTCCTTTTACACTCTGAAAACCACCAACTGGATCTTTGATCGGGGCACTTTCAAGAAGTCTATCAAATAATGGCAATTTATCCCATTTATTAAGAGCTTGGTTCATTTGTGTCATGAAGTTAACAATTTTATGTGGCTTAATATTACACATGAATTAATTCTTATTACAATACTTTCTCACAGAATTGTGTATGAACGAGTTTCACATCATCCCACGCTGGCTGTGTTCGTCTTGTCTGCTGTGTGGCATGGGTTCTACCCAGGATACTACATGGCCTTCGCAACTTGTGGACTTATGGTTGAAGCAGCGAGGAAGGTATTTATTTGCAAACTGAAAACTGTTGAAATGAGAACAGGTGGCCTTAAAATATTTTTGTTCCAGGTAAAAATAAAGGAAATGTTTCTTGCGATTTTGTTTGTAGGTTCGTAGAAAATACAGGCCTCTCTTTCAAGGCTCACATGTCTCCTCTCGTTTGTATGACCTCGTAACATGCGCAGTAACCATCCTTTCTTTGACGTTTGCTTCCATCCCATTCGTTGGTTTGGAAGCTAGATTTGGCTTGGAGTTTTGGCGGTAAGCATTTCTTTAACTTTATCGGTTTCGTAATGACACTTACAGGGATATGAACATCATGAATTAGCACAAATTTAAACTTTGCCGGCCCGTATCAGAGCTTTTGAGTTGAGCACAAGCTTTAGCCGAGTAGAGATTGGGACGAGACGTGCAAGAGGCTAGTTATCTCGTTACTGAGACTCAGTCCCTTCTCTCTCTACGACACGATAGAACGTCCGCTTCCCTACATTCTCCTAGCAATATTAGAAAAAAGGTGCGGATTACCGACAGTCCAAATTTGTAAAATTGCAATGTTCAAATACCACTGCATTTTAACGCACGGTATTAAGACTGGTTTACACATCAGATTAGGGACAGAAGGGTGGGTTACCTGTGGTAGTCTCGTCTCTCATTTGCCCAACTCCGCGAAAACTGTGTAGCATATTGATTTAAAAGTTGTTTTTCTTCTCCAGTTCTATGTATTTTTATGGAATTGTTTGGTCCATCATGGCGTTTCTTCTCCTAAGTGGTGGGAAATCCAAGACCGAAGGAAAGAAAGACAATAAAACCGAAAATGTGGATGTCAGAGATGAAGAGAAAGACAAAAAAGGCAACTCAACAGATGAGAATTTAACAGAGCTCCAAAACAGAGTTAAAAAGAATATGGAATCACCAAATGAACTGTTTCGTAAGGGTACACCTAACAGCCTGCTAAAAGAGAACCTGATTGTAGGGTCATAGAAGAAGACACTCAATGATATTTAGACAGAATTTTATTTAAGGAATCTTCAAGAGCCTTATAAAGCTTAATTCTTAAAGGCCCCTTCACTCAGCACCGTATGTATAGTTTGAACTGTGGCTCAGATTTTAGCAGGATATACGCGCTTCTGCGCTAGAGGCATTACTTCTGTTGATATAAAAAGATAGAACGTAATAATAGGTATATTGGCGTTCTAAGAATCCCCAGTTTTCTAATCAGTACCAAAAAATTTATGATTTTTCTGCGACATAAACGATACCTGAACATTAAAAAAATAGCTACTGAGGTTTGTACTTGTTATTTCACCAAATTTACGTTAGAAAATTAATATATATATTACCTGTAAATACGATGAAATAAATTATGATAATTTTGATATGATGATTAGAATATTTTGCTCTGTTTTGTAGCTCTTAAGAGCTGCAACTTTTTCTACGTAACTTAGAATGAAACAATACTGCTCATGGTATTAAGTGTTTTTTTCTTTCTTCATCGGGCTATCTTGCAATGGCATCATATCTTTGACTCCCTATTTATTGAAATAAGCTTTTTCAAACACTTTTGATTCACATTATGGCTAATAAAAATTACTGAAGAGCCCCGCCTGCTCGCACTTCCAAGGGTGACAGAAAATTGGTTGGAGTGATGGGGGATTCCAGTGAGCTGATAGTAAATCCCTGAAAATATGATGTCAAGGGAAATCGGATCTTTTTCGAGTTACTGGGGTAGGGGAGCTCGACTTAATCGAGTTCAAGTTAGCCCGGTTCTGGTATAATTCTGATTTAATTCTGGTATACTTCCTCGATAACACTGACAAAACGCGAGGCAGCCATTTTGAAATTCAGCGCCTACGCTATATTTACCTCACGCGAGGTAATTATAGCGAGATATGACGCAATCCTTGACCAATCAAAGCGCGCGCATCTTTACAATCACCGGAGTAATTACATTATGGCCGGATACAACCAAATGTGTTAGTATCAGATGAGCATTTAGGTTGATCTGATTTCAGGAATATACTGTATTCACAGGAATACTTCATCGTTCTTCAAGAAGCCATTCATATGATTCTTGTGGAAAAACAATTTGTCGCTGCATTGTTTATTTTATTTCTTGTCATATCCCCTTTCTTTTCATAATGAAAACATTAATACAAACTACTTTATTAATTTTTTTTGGAATACAATTTACTTAGCATTCAGAAATACTTGTATAACCATTGGCGATGGATAACGTTTCATAATTCAAACGTATGCTGTTAATTTAAAAGCTTATTTAACCTCAAAATTTATTAGAAAATTAATTCTCCCAACAACGACAATGCAACGTCGTGCCAACTGGTGATGAGAATAAATGGGGGAGGGAGGGGTGGAGATTTTGAAACTGACTGCCAATGAGGGGGGCCACTAAAATGCTACAGAGCCTTAGGAAGGGGTGATCGTATTAGTTGACTGTGACACTACCAGAATCCTCTGCCCCTCCCCCCCCCCCGGCCCCCCCTCCGTGATAAATAATGACCCCTCATTGAGACACGTATAACTCATCTCGTACCCAAATCCTATCGTGTGACTGCACCCGCTTGACCACGGAAGGTCTGGGTACGAGACCAACATATCACCTAGGGAACAGTTGTGGGAGAGAACTCCAAATTCTTAGGATCGACCGACACCGAAATTTATAAACATCTGTTAGGAGAATTGACTCCCAGATCCAGAGACTGAAAGCGTTTAGAACAATTTTTCAAAAAAATTCCCTGGTTCGTCAACCTTATATCAATTTGCACTGCGACGGAGCTTAAATAATTGATTGTAGACACTACATTGTTTTTTCACTTTAATTTTCGATGTAAGGCATTGTTGTTAGCCAAACTTGGAAGAGAATCATCCTGGTGGTTCAGTTCGAATTTGAAGGATCCACTGGGCGTCACGGAACCGTTTGCGCCTCTAGCATCATGGGAAGGCCTTGGTTTGCCACTGGGGCAGATGATCAGTGTTGCAATCAACAGAATGTGACCAATGAAATACGTCGACCTAGGAAGTAGAAATCATGTGCGTTACATAATGGTAATAGGACTGAGTGGAGTTCAATTCGGTCTGTAATCATACAAGTGATTAACAAAATCGGACGACCGCGAAGCGGGAGTCCGATTTGTCAATCACGAGTATGATTACAGACAGAATTAGACGACGCGAAGTCCTGTTACCAGTCAATCATTACCATTACAATTTTCGAAAAAAAAACAGTTACGACAAACATCTCCAGTAGGGACAATGTCTAAAGAAAAAAATTTGGAAATTTCCTAGTTATTGCAATTGTTATTGTGATCAATTCTGTGATTGGTGGATTTAGCTGAGTGAACTTGAGATGATTGGCTGCTTTAACTGTCCGATTACAGGTGTCCGATTACAGGTGTTCGATTACAGGTGTCCGATTACAGGTATCCGATTACAACTGTACAGGGTGATTAGTGAAATTAAAGCAGGTGATGTACCGATCACATTTGAGGAAATTGTGGTTGTGATTATAGATTGTTCAAGTCGGTACTTAATGGTTAAATCCTATATCTTGTGACAAGGAGCCTCGAGAAATTTTGGATCAGTTATAACTGGGAGGAGAGAGACTTTGTGTCTTGTCCAAGAGCACTGCACAATGACCTCGCTAGGACTCAAACTCAGCTCTCCTGACTCAGGGTCTAGCACGGTAACTTTTGGATCACTGCGTCAAGTTGTCCTGTATATCGATTTGAATGACTTCGGCTCATGGCAGATAAGCCCGAACTTAGTTATCATTCTTCGAAAAAATTGGCTCCGAGCTGTTGGTTTATGTTAAAAAGATGGATGTGGGTCTGTCCTGATTGTACTCGGCAACTTTTGAGCAACTTTTGGCGTTTGGAGCAACTTTTTGCGGTTCTGGCAACCTCGAGCAATTTTTGTCTTTCTGATAATTTTTGAGCAAAATATTGGTTTGGAATCCATATCAAGCACGAAAAAGTTAACGATTTCGTAGAAAGCTTCAATTCATGCAAATTTATTGAATAATTATCAACACAAACGAACTAAGTGTTTTGTTCTGTTAGACTTAAGAGTATCCTTAAGTTTCGCCCATATTTGCAAGCAACTCTTTAAAGGTAAGATGTTGGCAATCGCAGCGTAGAAAAAGCGTATAAAGCTTTGATTAACGTCTATTTAAAAATATCAAGAAATTAAGGTAGGAAGTTTTGAAATTTAGTCACCTTTTTTTGGACTTTTGGCAATATCAGAGCAAATTTTTGGCATTCGAGTGAGCAACTTTTCAACATTCTACGAGCACAAAGGGGGCAGACCTGGATAGATGTATGCGTCCTGACAGAACAAGTTTCCCATCAGAGGGCGAATCACCACCTACCAATAGCAACGCATGAGTCATCTTACCTGTAGAAATTCATTGAGAGATCAAATCTCAGTAGCACAAACGCTGCCAAACAATAGGAGGCACATAGAGGGTTACAAGCCATCCACTGAAGAAATTGCAACAAGCTATTGATCAACGGAGATGTCCTTCCGCGAAGGTCGTCACAAGCATGTCGCACCTGGAATAAGAATATTCATTTACTTGTTGTATTTTCACCACTCCGTCACTTGGCCAAGCTCTGGTCAGAGGCCGTACAGGTCTATATAATATCATGGATTACCCACGCATTATTGATCGGTTCTCACCTATGACCTATTGGCCTTTTTATGGAGGACAGACGCATAGATGACGTCACCATTTCAATTTTTTTTAGCTCTTTCTTCTTTTCAATAAGACAAATAGATTCCATTGCCGTGGGTCTGTTCAGGTATAGATCACAGAAGACGTCAGACTCGGCTGCGTCTCGTTTGCCATTTCTTTGTACTTACAACATTTTGACGTCACCTGTGATCTATGACGAAACAGACGCAAGGCAACATGGGATCTCTTTGTTGATTGCACAGCATGACTGGAGCGTATTAACGTCAGTTATTTCAACAGTTAGAAGCTTACCTTTCTATCAGCTACTATGAGTAATATAGAAACTAACAATGCCAAAAGATAACCGGGATAAAATCCATGCCATATGGCAGATACAGCTAAAGTGAAGTACGTTCTATGGTGAGATACTCGCTGATAAACAATCCTGATACAAAGAGAAAGAATGGACAAACAGTCACGAGAGAGAACGCTTATCAGTTTCGTTTACTTCGAAAGACAAAGTTGTTTTTTAATTTTCCCGCTTGATCTGAAGGGGGTAGGGGTGAGTAGGGAGATAGAAAAACTGTTCCTCTATTCATCGAATTTCAATTTATTAATATCAATTTATTATCCAGCAATTGAAAATTGTATCAGTGCAAGAGTATTGCCATTTGATATAACACTAATTTCTCTTAACTGATTCATGAGGAATTGTATAACATTTGGAAAGGAAAATCTCGGGTTAGATCCTTAGGCTAAAAGAATTAGTTTGAGGATTCTAAGGTGATGTAGCTGGATACAAAGTGGTTATAACAATTTTATGTTGTAAATTCACATCGTTGATTAAGTCTCAATGTTCTTAGTGCTCACCTTTTAAGCCAAAGATTTGTTGTTATATTCCAGTTGTTCAACAAGTCTTTGAAGTTCGTGGATATCTAGGAATACCAAACAATACAAGGCTTACGACTTAATCTAGAGAAAGACTCGACGTGGTATTTTTGTAAGGTTCAGTGATGTCGTGAGTATTTTACTCGTATTTCACTCAGGAGATGTGACTCACTAAAATATCTAGGAGCAGATTGTATACTATTGTTCACATAGAAGAACTAACAACGGTTAGTCAAAGCTCTAAATATCGTCTGATGGGTTAGACTGAGTGGTGTAAAAATACGAGCCTCTTACATCGTTTCACATGGTCATGCAGTGTAATTCTCCTCAAATACCAAAATAACAAAACTGTTTCAAGACCTGCCATCCCTGTTTATAATGCATACGTTATGGCGTTATGGACTAAGGATTAGCGCGTTAGAATCCTGCTTGAGGGAGCTGGGTCCAAGCTCTACTTGGCTCATTTTGTTGTCTACTTAGGAAGAAACTTTTATCTCTTCCAGTCCCTCTCTTTACCTAGGAGTATCATTTAGCACAGGCAGAAACCTGACTTTTTAGAGGAAAGCTGACAGCAATGAAATGGGATACTTTTAAAGATGAATACTTCGTTGCCGTGGAAACCGGAACAAATGGTCACCTGTGGCAAACTCAAGCCACTAGGTTCGTTTGAGAAGTTAAAATTTCTTTTGAATCAGCTCCTTCTCAGTGGAAAAGGTCAGGAAATTTTACCAA